TCCTTCCAATTTCAATTACTCTGTCAATCATGCCCTGTAGCACAGTTTCTTCCTTAGCCATTAACACAAGGTCATCTGCATATTTCACAGTTTGAATAATTTGTCCTCCTAATTTGAAGTCTCCGAGCCCATCCGGAGCTTCCTTGGTAAGGCATTCACTGTACAAGTTGAACAGAATTGGTGATAAACAGCATCCTTGTCGAACTCCTCTGTAACCTCATAAACTTAACTCCTTGTTGGTACTTCAATATATGGTTCAGTTTTTTTATATACCATTCCCTATCTCTGTGTTTCATTGTTATTTTAGTTCCAAAAATGTTCTGCCTCCAACTTTCCATTATCATTTTACCCTTTCCAATAATATTACTGTCTATATCCTTGCACATGGAGATCCTTGGTTGAAAACAAGTCTTTTTTTCTTCTTCTTCTGTTGATCCCAAAATTTCCATCTAATGAACCCTTGTCTTTTTCATACAAATTGTTCTTTCTTCTCTCCACATGTCAACTTAAACATTATTATTCATACTTCCACTATATAACATAATAAAATCCCCTTTATCCATTATACCTCACATGTTTCCATCTAATTTTCTGAGTTGCTGCAGCAGCAGTACTATATTTCTGTAAATCACAATTCAGTTGACTTACTGCTACTGTTCTGTAAAATCTGAGCACATTCCAAAAGTAGCAAGTTGTAACTCATTATGCTTTCCTTAGCTGTTTCCCCAAATTTTCCATATAACTTCTGTCATTAGATTTCTTAACATATATTGTTTCATGAGATGAGTTTTTTAGCCTCATGCCCAACCCAGAGGATGAGGAATTGCCTGCCATCTGGCCCCTTCCCTTTGACCTATCCAGAATGGGTACCAAGTCTTATGCCTCTGCTGGTGTAGCTGTCTGAATAATCAGGGCATGCAAACTTTCCCACCACATTGAGGTAGTACGAGTAACCCAGGAATTAGATATGACATGATGATAATCTCTAATAAAATAAAAGTCTGCAACGTATCTTAAACTTTTTTGTCTTTTTAATATTTACAGTGTAAGTGTATGTCTTGAAAAGTAGTCCATGGCATTCAGTATGGAAAACATCTTGCTGTGTTGAAAATGTTTGTTAAGAACTTTGGTGATAAATGTCATAAAAAATTCTTTATCATGAGTAAAATTATCACTTGCATACTGTCATATTTATATCCTGGCATGAAAAAGCAAATAAAGTCTTGTTAATTTTTATAAAATTTATCCTAAATATGTCAACTTTGTCCATATAAGGCATTTACTCGTATGTATGGCAGTATACAGGCTATCCTTGTCAAACTATAACAGTTAAAAGAATTTAATGTGTGGCATTAGGAAGAGAAACTCAATTAATATTATTGTGTGACATTGAAGTTGCCATCCTTTCTGCTGTGATGGCATTGCAGTCACTAAGAAGAAGATATCACCTCCAGTGAGTGTGTGTTGTGTGGTATGCAGAAATGAAGTTGTCCATTATGGTATAAAGAAACTGTTGGCAAGTGTATAGCATCTTATGAGGAAGCCATCAAGGCCTGCTCTGACAAGTTTTTGGCCACAGGGAGTGTACACAAATGATCTGGAAGTGCATGTGAGAGTATTTCTGGCAAGAAAGTTGAAAAAAAAAATCTGTCATGCATCCAGAAAAGCCCAGTTAAGTCCAGCCATCAAGTATCCAAGGAACTGCAAGTACCATGTCTGATGTTACACAGAGTTCTGCCAAACAGCTGCATCTGTTTATGTACAAATTGCAGATCATCCAGAAGCTGAAGCCAGACAACATGACAAATCACCAGAACTTTGCCATCGACATGCTGCATTGGATCAACATACAGGGCGTTTCACTACTTTAGGGCATAACTGCAGGAGGTGATTTCCTAGGTCTCTGTGATCAAAAAAGTTCATATAAACATGTGTCCAATTTTGGACAGTTACGGAGTTATGACCGTTCTTTCATTCCCGTACACGCCTTCGTGTGAACCGAGTTTATCATCTGGCAGGTCGCTATTTTTAGCCAGCTTCAGACAGAGCATTCTCGTTATCTCAGTGCTTGAGAGGTACCTAAGGCGAGGTGGGTTGTTATGTCCGGCCACGGCTAGTGTGGCAGCTTCTGGTGTTCAGAACAGTTCTCATCTCAGTGCTGTTATGTTCACGATGCCATTTACATTTTCATTCGAAGAATATGCAGATATGATTTATGTGTACGGATTTTGTGATGGTAACTCAGTTCTTGCCATAGCTGAATATCAGCAATGGTTTCCAAATCGCAGAATACTGAACCACAGAGTGTTTACTGGAGTTTACCAGGCATTGCGAGATACCGGTAGATTTCCTGGAGTTCGTATTGCAGCCGAGCGTGGTGTTAATGAAGGCGTCAATGAAGAAGGCATTGTTCATACGGTACACCACAGTCCACATACAAATACACGAAAAATTGCCAGCCAGGTCTCCAGACTTAAGCCCACTTGATTATTGTGTGTGGGGATGGATGAAAGAACTGGTTTACAATGTGAAGGTGGCAACGCGAGATGCTTTGCTCCGTCGCATTCTGGACACCGCTGACCACATAAGAAACAGCCAGCTGAAGCTGCTACATGCTACCAGTGCGGTTCACAACCGAGCGGCAGCCTGTGTTGCGGCCAGTGGTGGCATTTTCGAAAATGGGCTTTAAGCACCAATCAGTTCAAATTAAAGGTAATTTCACGAAGTTAACTTTACATTCATACTTTAAATGTATCATATATTATGCTGGTTTATTATTTTGTTCCATTTATTGTCAGTAATCGTTACCTTCTATTCTGAGTTTAAAATGGTCGTAACTCTGTAACCATCCAAAATCGGACACATGTTTATATGAAAGAGACCTAGGAAATCACCTCCTGCAGTTATGCCCTAAAGTTGTGAAACATCCTGTATATTGACGTGTCCTTCAGAGCATCTCATTTTTTGAAGTCACTACATTTCATCAGTGAGACACAGCACAGTGTGCACATATGGGGCTCTGAATATTCTCACAGGTACTGAAAATTGCTCTAAGATAGTCCTGAAGTGAACTTTTGTTATGGCTTAAAGAGGGGCAGGATTATTGGGCTCTGTTCTCTTCAGAGAGGTTACAGTAACAGGTATTGTATACCTTGACATACTGGAAGAGACTGTGTGCCCGCAATTAGCAGATCTGCAGCCAATTGTCATCTGCCAGCGAATCCCCCCTCCCATTCGATTTTCTGAGTTTGAGGATTCTGCAAGGACAACTTCCTGGATCACTGGATTGGGCATGGCAGACCACTCTCTCCATTGTGTTTGCCAAATGTCACTCCACTGGGTTTTTATTATAATGGGGGTATGTCAAGGACTAAGCCTATGCCACCTACATGCCTGACCTTCCAGTGTTATGAGTCCACATCCGTGATTGTCACACTCATTCTGAACATGTCGGATAAAGTTGTGGACAGAAATTCAGTACAGACTTGATATTCTCCATCCCCAGTAGGATATGCTGAAGTTTTTATTTTCCTGAGTCTGCAAATTGTATTCTTGTAGCTGTTACAGTTTTCCTACATTGACAAACTGAAGTGAGGGAGGTTTGACTGGAACATTCTGTATTTTGTAGTATTTTGTAAACATTTACCTGAATTTCTGTTCATCACAGCAGCACCTGATATTTTTGCCTCACCATGTTTAACTTATGTCTAGCTATTTTCTTGAATATTTACAGATGTCAAATCCCCAGCTGATCCTCCACGAACTGCAACAAGAGAACAGAAATCACCAATAGGAATTGAACATAGTAATAAAGGATTGTCTCGACAACAATTAATTTCTCAGTCTGTTGCTCAAGCTTCCATAACAGTGGCAGAGAAGGTGAGTGTATGTTAATCACAGAAATTAAATGGGACACATCATCTGCTGGTCTATGCTGATGATGTGAATGTACTCAGTGATAACATAGACACTGTAAAGAAAGACACAGAAACTTTTATTTGATGCTAGTGAGGAGGTTGGTCTTGAAGTAAATGCAGAGAAAACTAAGTTTATGATGCTGTCTTGTCACCAGAATGCAAGGCCAAATAATGACATAAAGATAACTATAAAATTGCTGAAAATGTGGCACAGTTCAGATATTTGTGAACAACAATAAGAAATCAAAATTTGATTCAGGAGAAAATTAAGAGGAGGTTGGATTTGAGTAATGCTTGCTACCATTCAGTCCAGAAGCTTTTGTCTTCTCATTTGCTATCTAAAAACATAAAAATTAGAATATACAAAACTATGATTTTGTCTGTGATTCTGTATGGGCGTGAAACTTGGTCTCTGATGTTAAGGGAGGAACGTGGACCGAGGGTGTTTCAGAACAGGGCCAAAGATATATGAAGCGGTAGGAGGTTGGAGAAAATTGCATAATGAGGAGCTTCATAACTTATGTTCTTCACCAAATATAATTATAATGATCAAGTCAAGTAGGATGAGATGGGCAGGATGTGTAGCATGAATAGTGGAGGAGAAGGAGAAGAAGAAGAAGAAGAATGCATATATAGGGTTTTGGTGGGAAAGCTAGAAAGAAGGAAACTGCTAGAAAGACCAAGATATTGGGTGTGGATAATATTAAAATGGATCTTAGAGAGATGGGATGGGATTGTATGGATTGGCTCTATCTGACTCAGGATAGGGACCAATGGAGGGCTCTTGTGAACAAGGTAATGAACCTTTTGGTTCCATGAAATGTTGGAGAGTTTTTGAATAGCTGTACAACCGGTGGCTTCTCAAGAAGGGCTCAGCTCCATGAAGTCAGTTAGCTTAGTTGGTTACACAGGTGATTGCACTATAGTTGTTTACTGAAGCCAAGTTCAAAGCTAGACTCAGAAATTCCAAACTCAGAAGATTGCAGTGGAACCACTGGCCACCAAGAAAAGTTTTCAAATGCAGGAATATATGAAAATCACTTGGAGCTGAGTCTGGGCTGTAGGTGGGATGATCGAATTATTCCCAGCCAAATGTCACGATGAGATCTTGTGTTGTGGCGGCGGTGTGTGGGCAGGCATTGTCATGAAGCATCACAACACCCTAACTAAGCATGCCATGTCACTTGTTTTTTAAGTGTGTAGCAGTAGGCACCTGCGTTGATTGTTGAGCCTTGAGGCAAGAATTCCACAAGCAGAACGCCTTTTCTGTCCCAAAACACTGTGCGCATGATCTTGCGTGTTGAATTGGCCTGTATGAATTTTTTCTTTATTGGAGATGATGTGTGCCTCCATTCCATGGACTGCTGCTTCAATTCAGGGGTTACGTGTGACGCCCATGTCTCATTCCCCGTGACTATGAGGCTCAAGAAGTCATTGCCTTGCTCACTGTATCGTGTCAGAGAGAGGTCAACACACTGGCATGCCATTTTTTTGTGTTCATCCATAAGCATCTTTGGCACCCAGTGTGAACACAATTTCTGAAAACGAAGTTTATCGACACAATTTCACAAAGAAGTGACTGTAAAATTTGTGGAAAATACAAAGAATGCGATGAAAAGGTGAATTATATGTTCTCTTGAATCTTCTCTTCCAATTTATCCACCAAATCTTCATTAACCATAGACGGTCGGTCACTCCATGGATCATCATGCGCATTTTTGCGTCCTTCATTAAAGTGTCTCACCAGTCTCCTTACCATTGAATCGCTCATGGCATATTCTCCATACACCTCACAAAGTTGACGATGAACGTCAGCCAATTTCGTGTTTCTTGCATTCAAGAAATGGATTACAGACCACATTTCACATGCAGCAGGCTTCTCAATTTTCTTGAACATTGTAAATACACAAGACAATGCACAAACGAAGTTTGATTATCTGCAGATGGCATCTGTGCCTTCCAAAATGGCCAACAAACTCTGCATGACTGTGCACCATAATGACTGCAGCACAGCAGCAGCAGCAGCAGCAGTATTTGCAAAGGGAACTTATTTTGTGGATATGCCTCATATCATCTGCTCCCTTGGCTAAAACCACAAGAAAAATACCATATTACTTTGAATACAAGATGTATATTTTACAAATTTTTTCCCATTGAAAAACTGAGGTCCTTCTTAAATTCGAGGAATGGGCACCTTTCTAATTTTTTTCCTAAAACCCACATTTAAAAACTGCATGTGTCTTAAATTCAAGGGCATCTTATATTTGAAGTAATATGGTATGTGCAAATGACAGAACAAGAACAGTCCACAGTGGCAACGAGCCTGGATGCTGTAAGATACGCCTTCATGTCTGCCTATGTACAGATCAGGACATAGACAATTTTTAACAAGCACATACTTAGATTAGATAACTTCATTTTTTTCATGAAGACCAAAAAATAAAACTCATGCGCATTAAGTGGAACTGCAGCACTCACTGCATGGCAAGTGGCCATGCACCCTGCTTCTTTGAGTTAGAGCCAGTAAAAGATTCCATCAAACCTTGCCACTCCTATTATAGAACAACATTGTATCACAGATTCCTAGTAAAAGGAAAAGTGAAATCAACAGAAAATATTCATAGGTTAAATGTGCAGTATTGGAAAGCGATCCTTTCATATGCAAGTGTGTCTGATTGATACAGTAAGTTCTCTGAAGGCCATGAAGCAGTCTGAAATGTACCACATGTTTATGTTCAGCCTGTAGCTGTACATGATGTGAACAGCAGTGAAGAACTCATTTTAGGAAACAGACGAATTACAGTGCACAATATTGCATCCAACACTGGCATGAGTGTTGGAAGTGTTGAAACAATTATCTATGAACTCTTATTGTTCTAGAAAGTATGTACCAGGTGGGTCCTAAAGATGTTACTGTTCAACCAGGAGGTGCAGCATGTTGATGTGTCTGCTTAATGTTTGCACCAGTTTGAATTAGAGGGAAACACATTCCTAGATTGAATACTGACCCATAACCAGACCTGGGAGCACTGCTTTACTCAAGAGTCAAAGCACTCCTGCATGGAATGGAGTCTCATAGGATCTCCACCACAGTAATTCAGGACACAGCTGTCAGATGGCAGGATAATGGGAAAAGTGTTTCTTTTTTATTCAGAAAAAGTGATTTGTGTTCCACATGGCATAACAATTAATGCACAGTATTACAGTAACTTGCATCACAATGGAATGCACCAAGCAGTTTGGAAGAAAAGATCTGGGAAACTGCCAAAGAAGATCATCCTGCTGCTTGAAAATACTCATCCACATGGAAAATTTGATGGAGGTGACATTGGTAGCAGTGGGGTGGGAAGTCATGAACCACCTTGGTTAACCCCCAGGTGACTTCTGTTTGGACCAATGAGGATACACATAGGAGGACAGATATCTCAAATTGATGATGAACTCAGATGCTGTGTCCTGAATTGGCCATGCATTCTGGCTAAGACCTTATGTACTGCTGGCATCAATAATTGGCAGGATGATGGAAAAATGTTATAATGTAAAGGGAGAATGCCTCAAAATGGAGTGAGAGTTTGACAACTCAGGCATGTACATATTTCTCTTGTAAAAATAAAATCCGGGTCATCCTTGAACCACCTTCATAAATTACATTCATTAACAAATTTCAGAAAGCATAATATGCAAATTACATTAATCTAACATTTTGGCAGATCAATAAAAAAAAATGTATAATAATGTAAACTGTAACACTGTTGAGGAAAGCAATCTTCTGGGATGTGATACCGTGTATATGTGGTGTTAACCGATGTTCCTCCGAAACGTCAGTTAACACCACATATACACGGTACCACATCCCAGAAGACTGCTTTCTTCATAGTCGCCGCCATGAAAACCCCAAATCTTACATGTAACACCGTTATTTGTCAAGTGTTAAATTGTAGTAACTTAACAAATCAGCTTTCCTTAGGAACTGAAAATAAAGACATTTAATGATACATCCAAGTGCACATCCACTTCACAGTACCACCTCACAACAGTTACACCAGTCAAGACCTTACAGAAAAGAAATGTCATCTCCACTAGTACCCATAAACCCAGTTGACCTAGGCACCTGTCCAGTAGATATGTCCTGTACACATTTATACACACATATGCCCAAATTTGGTATGCAGTATACTCTCGATTATATGTTCTGGTAATTGAAAAACATTAATAATCCAAGATTTGGAAGAAATTTTTAGTATATAGATTTGGAAATGTGTATATAACATAAATTTGTTTATTTATCTCAAGAACCATAAAATTTATAAATGAGTTGTATTAGACACCATGTTTGTTTCACTTTCTCTGCAACGTCTGTTTGAAACATTTTTTACTCCAATAAATATTTAGTTATACTCAAGATATGCATAGAAATGCATGTGGGTCTTCATGTAAAGTGGTTGTTAAAATTGTTCAGACTAAATGGAAATTTACATACACTCAACAGTGTTTTGTAAAATTCTCCAATTTCAAATTTCCTGAAAATCTGTCTAACAATTCTCAAGTTATTTCATTCATACAAACAGGTAAATGAACTGAACAAACTTAGTAGGCACTCTGCAGGATTGCATAGCAAGTAAAATGTCACTTGGATAAGCCGTGCACAGATAATTGAGAACTTACTGACTCCTAGTGCATTGTATTGCACCAAGGTATTCAGTTATTGGCTAGCTGTTATTATAGATATTTCTTCATCATCACAACATAATTCAATCCAGTACTCATCCTCACAGTCCATTTCTCTAGGACATATTTTAATGTGGTCTTCCTCTCTATGACCAAAACTGTATATGCATTTCCTGTCTTTCCTATGCATTCTACATATGTTGCCGATCTTATCTTTGCTGTGAACACCTGATCATTTTATTAATAATTAGTAATTTTAGTTTCAATTGGTGCATGATTAAATTAGTGATGACTGAGAGTTTACTGTGCTCAGAAGGTTTACTGTTTTTCAGGGTGGTTCAGATAAAGAGGACGCACAGCGTCCAGACCCTTCTGCTCTGCCCCCATTAGCCTTTAAGAGAGACCGTGGTCATACAATTTCAGTCATGTCTCCAGTACGGAAACCTCGAATTGACTGGAATTCTGTTCGCAAGGACAGCTCACCTAGAAGCAAGGATGCTCCTCGCTCTGGCATCAGTCCCAGGTAATGAAGAGAAAATATTTTGGAAAGTTTCTGGTGCTCTACAAGGAATTCTTCTAAATCTTCCTGTCAGCTTCTTTCCTCACAAATGCTTTCCAGTCTTCTGAAATTACTAAAGATGGCCAAATGAAGATCATCTGGTTTTGCATTTTTTCAATGGAATAAAAAGAACAAGCTAACCAAAATATAATACACTTATATTTTGTAACATTTTATGACTAGTTAATAACAGATTTGTCAGGTTTCTGATTGGGGGTTCAGGCCCTGTTGAAATGGTGAATGCCATGTTCTGCATAAGCTGCCCACTGGTAAATACAAGATGATTTTTACAGTATGTAAATGTTAAATGTCTACTTAGTGCTAGATAGTCTGCAATAATTTAATTACACGTACATTAAATATCAGTGCACAGTATTTTATTCATATATAATGTTAGGTAGATGGAGTATAGAATTTTGTAATAATATTTTATCATTGGAAGTTGGCTGTTCAGCAGAAACTCATCAGGAATACTCTGACTGCCAGGAAGACTGTGTTTTCATTTATGGATACCAAAAGTATAAAAATTTTGTTGTTCACATGCCACAGAGATCTACTTATTGCCAACTATTGCAAACCAAATGTAAGCAACAATAAATATGAAATAGCCTATTTCTTACAAAGAGTGTTTTGGCATGGTGTTTCAGTTTTGTATTCCTTCAGCTTTATCACACTGCACACTTTGGCAGTACTTCAGAGAAGCCATTGCTGGTACCACAAAGCCTGGCAATTGAGCGTGCAGTTAAGAACTTAGATAGAATTCCACCATATGAGACTCATAAGGTTGGAGTCATATATGTGGGACCAGGACAGGCAAGGAATGAGGCAGAAATTCTTCGTAATCAGTTTGGATCCCTGCGGTATGCTGAATTTTTACAGGTTGGTCTGTATAATTCCTTAGTTAATTTAATACAAGAATATACTGGTAGAAAGCTGCAGTATAAGGGTTGATACGTAGGTCGTTTAAGAAATAATGCACACAATTTTTTGTTCATGTCCATTTTATTTTTAATATCTCTTTACAGTCCTTCAGTATAGTCCCCCTGCTTCTGAATGACAACATGTGGGAAGCTTTACTATTCCATCCAGGACACCATCTTTGTTTATCTGTCCAATGGCTTGGGTAACTGCAGCAGAAAGCTCTTTCAGAGAGGGAAAATGACAGCCTCGCATAGGTTGTTTCAACTTTGGGAATAAGTCAAAGTCTGGTGGACTCATGTCCAGGCTGTAGGGAGCGTGAGGCAACAACTCCCAACCGTATTGGCACAACTTTTCTGTTATGACATTCCCGATGTGCAAGCAAGCATTGCCATGGAGAATGATCGGCCCAGCCTTGAGGAACTGAGGTCAGATTTTGTGCATTTTTCTGCGCAGATTTTGCATAAAGTCACGATAATAAACTGCTGTGACACTTCTCCCACACAGAACTCTGTCTGTCATGATGATTCCTTGGTGATCATCAGCAAAGATCATTTGTTTGACCTTTGATTGAGATCGTCTAAATTCTTTTGGTCATGGGGAAGTTGGACCTCTCCACTTGTTGGACTGTGATTTCAGCTCCGGTTCAAAGTTTCTAACCCACGTTTCATCAGTAGCGACAAGTTGATACAAGAATGCTTGACCTTCAACGTCGAATCTTTGTTTCAGCAAGGTTGCAATGTCGAGGCGTTTCTGCTTCTGTTCAGCAGTCAAGCAGCGAGGGACCCATCGCGCAGAAATCTTTCCCTTCTTTAAATCATTTGTCAGAATTCAGAATATTGACATTGGTGGAATCCCCTTGGTTTCAGAAAGTTCCTCACATGTCACACAATGATCTTCAAGAGCATCTGTCACAAGTTTCACACTTCGTTCCTCTGTTGATGTTTTCGGCCTTCCTGGCCTTGGATCATTGTTTATGCTCACACGGCCGTCACGAAAACGACTAGCCCAGCAAGAAACTCTACTACAGTCCACTGTTAACTCGCCACAAACTTCACTTAAGGCACTGTGGATTTCTGTCGGATTTTTTCCATGTAAAGTTTTGATCTTAATGTACGACCTTTGATCTTCAACAGTCACAATACCTGAGAACCATGCTTGCACCATTTCTAACTCGCGTTATTTAAGAACAGAATACATTATAAATGAAATGAAATAACGTGCTTCTTTTTCAAACCCTTAACTGTAACTGACGTGAGGCTCACTGTTGTTGCGTCATGTAATCCGCAGTGTTGCCAACCTGTGCATTATTTATGAAATGACCCACATATTACAACCAGGAGTCAAAAAACTACTGTAGTCTGGTTGCTGTTGGCTGGCAACAAGTTTCCTCTTTTGGAATAAGATTTTGGAGTTCTAGAAGTCTCATTTGATCACTTGTGCCACAGTGGAAATGGTGAACCACATCCATAGAAATTAGGGTTAACATAATTAGTGAGTCATAACAAATTGCTTTCTGTTCTGAATTTGATTTTTCCCCATTACCTTATGCCTAGCCCCTATGTGTTTAGGACAGTTGGTGTGCAGCCACTGTAAAACAGAAAGGAATGATTCTTGAACCCCATTCTGAAGGAAGAGCCATAGCATGGCACCATAAATTCTTGACCACCTTTTTCTGGCAACCAAAATATTTGTGTGACTACTGGGCTTCAAGACATTTTGTGACCTGTGATTCCAAGAATACCCATGATTGGACTGATCATATGCCCCACCTTAACTGGGAGAGTTCCAATTTTATCTTGCACCAGAGTTGTGGCCAGTTAATTAAATATTGAACAAATGTTTTCATCCATGTAATCTTGTAACAATACTCTTTCTCTAAGGGATACATTTGTTCTGAAATAGCCTATTATTGACACAGAGCTTCATTATACATTGTCAGGTGTGATTCATATCCCTGAAGTAAGTGGTTAGAGTTGGAGTCTGTCCATGCTTTCATTTGAACCCATAGACAGAGGTGAACATAACAGACATGTCTAAACATTTTCATATTGTAACGTGGATGGCCAGAGCATTTCTAGGCAATGACCTGTAAACAACCTTCAGTTGAGTGCATTACAACAATAGGACGAATGTTTATAGCTTGTTGCTAGGCAATAGTCGGAGCACCAGTGGATTGATGAGATAGATATCACATGATGTGTTTTCTGTGCAGTCTGTGTCATCATCAGTAGAATTGTGTTTCCTATATGATGTTTGCTGCGGCTATACGAGTATAACGACAGCTATGAGCTGTAAATTAAGAGCAAATTTGAACTAGAAGTGACAGTGACAAGAGTTCTGAGTTCTCAGTGGAAGATAGCCACAGGAAGTTCACAGAAGATTTAACGTGTGATTTAAAGGCTTTATATCTGCTGTAGTACAGTGGTATCTGGAGTGTGACTGTAATAGTTCCTGTGTTGTAGTTATGGTACCAGGAGAGACCAGAATGCAATATAAGGCGGAAGACATGCTTTGAAGAATGAAGCAGAGCTACACAGAAAGGGATTGTTATCCTGAAGGAGTTGAGTGTGTGAACTGTTATCACCAAGTGTGATTGTGATTGTGACATCAAATAAAGTGATCCATTAATCCAGAGAACCCCCTAATTACATGTCATGTTACCAGGATATGTGACATCTGGTGTCAGAAGTAACTGGTTCAGATTGATCAAATTGCTGGATTGAAAACTAAATTGTCCTTTGAAAACAGAGATGCAACAGATGATAGAATAACTCTTGGCTGGCCAAGAACAGATAAGAAAAGAAATTCAGTCTGAACAAGCAAAAGTGATAGAAGAAATCCACTCCATTTGGTCTGAGTTAGAGGAGACCATCCAACATAGAATGGAAAACGTCATGACGTGCATTAACCATGAGATGCACAGTATCTGCAAAGGACTGACTGAGAAAATTAAAAAAAAAACACAAGTGGATTTAGAGGCAGTAAAGATGTCTCTCAACATGTAGGCCAGGAAGTTCCTGCTGAAATATCTAGAGGACATCAGGGCTGATTTCATGCATACCTTGCCATGGTCAACCTTCAGGCAAAGCAACCAATAGAGGAACATTCACACAGCAATGCATCATGGAAGAAGCTGCAGTGATGCCAGTCAGAAGACTGAGGAAGCAGCATAGGAGCCGGAATCTGGCTGCGGGGTGCCACCATAAGCTGAAGGGAAGGATCCAGGCAAGTTGTGAATCCCAGAAGAGATTTACTGTCATCTGCAGGAAGATGACCCACCATGCCAGAATGGCATGGTACAAGAGAAAAGTAACCAGAATACGTTGTACCAGGGCCAGTATGGTAGAAGAAATCCAGAGAGGATGGATTTCAGGAGGAGACATCAGCTAAAACTGGAATGCAGCAAGGGCATAAGGAGCTGAGATGTTTATGAGCCACTACATATGAGGAAAGTGAAGAAAACCACCAACCATATCGGAGGATGGAGCAGAAGACAGCAGCCATGACTGGAAAGGATGGGAAACAGCAATGAGGTCTTCAGGAAAACCATCAGACTGGAGTTTGGAAAGCGAGCAGCTGGATCATCTGTTGCATTACAAACAACAAGAACTGGATGCTGTGGAAAGAGCAGCCACCTCCGGAAAGGTTTAAGAGCCAATTCACATAGTTGGCATAAGAGAAGCCAGAGATGTGAAAGCACCGGCGACTCTGAATAGTTTTGCCCCCCACAAATGGGAACAACAAAAGGACAGTAAAAGGTTGATGTTGGACGCATGGATTATCTGTAACCTTATGAGGGTGCCACTCGGGACGAGTGCACTTGAGGAGGGAGCAGTGGTAGCAGATGGAAAATGGTCACCAAAACCAGGAAAAAAAAAAAAAAAAAGGAGAGAAAACCCAAGCCAGAGGAAAATAAGATGGTGGAAGCACAGCCCTTGGAAGAAAAGGAACGGTGATAGACCGTTAGGCCATTCAGGACAAACAGCCTTAAGGAGGGAGCAATGTAATTTGGGTGGCTAGATCGTTTCTAGGCAACAGCTGTAAACAACCTTCAGTTGAGTGCGTTACAACAGTAGGATGAATGTTTATAGCTCGTTTCTAGGTGACAGTCAGTGCACCAATGGACTTATGAGATAGGTATCACGTGATGTGTTTTCTTTGCAGTCTGCATCATCAACAGTAGAATTGTGTTTCCTGTGCAGTCCATGCTGTGGCTATATAATGAGTGCTGAGAGCCATAAGATCAGAGCAAATTGGAACTAGAAATGACAGTGACAATGACAAAGTTCTGAGTTCTCAGTGGAAGATAGTCACAGGAAGTTCATAAAAGATTTAATGTGTGATTTTAAAACTTTATATGAGCTTTAGTGAGCTGATATCTGGAGTGTGACTGTTATAGTTCCTGTGTTTTAGTTCTACCAGAAAAGACCAGAATATGACAGAAGGTGGAAGAAGAAGTCGAAGTGACTCGGCAGCGAATGAACATGCTTTGGAGAATGAAGCAGAGCTACGCAGAGAGGGATTATTATCAGGAAGGTGTTGAGTGTGTGAACTGTTATAACCGAGTGTGATTGTAATAGTGTCAAGTAAGTCACTCCATCAATCCAGAGAACCCACTAATTGTCACCTTACCGGGATAATTGCGAACTGTTATAACCGAGTGTGATTGTAATAGTGTCAAGTAATTCAATCCATCAATCCAGAGAACCCACTATTTGTCACATTACCGGGATAAGTGACAATATTAAAAAGATAGAATAATCTGGTATGACAAGAGAACGTGGAATGCGGGCTGTCTCATTTGTGGTTTTGTATGGTTTTCCTTACTGTCTCCATGCAGATAACCTGGATAGTACCTCAAGTTAAGTCATGACTTCATCACTCCATATCTTTTCCAACTCATTTTTCAGTAATCATCAGTGCAGTATAGTCTGAGGTACTGACAGTGTCTGTTTTGTTGTTTATTTTATGAAACACGAAACCTGTGGATAGCTTGTGCCCTGGCTAAGATTCAAACTGAGCACCTACCAAACACAAGTTTAGAGTCTTTGTGTTACACAGACCTGCTCAGTGACTAGGAACTCCTTGATTTATTTTATATACAAAAGCCAAATAAAAACATATTGAAAAACAGCTTGAGGTATGGGTTGTTGATCATTTCAGAGGCTGGGGACTCTCATCAAATTGAAGGATGCAGATCCTCAGAATATCTTCCTAGGAGGTCTTGACAGTAATGGAAATGATGGAAAATTTGCTTACATTTGGCAAGATGATGTCACACAGGTAATTATTGTTCTCTTGTAGTGTCATCCCATTTACCTTGAATAGTAGGTAAAGATACATTTTTTTTTCCCCCTGATATGCTGTTTGATTGGAGCTACCAGCAGCATATGATTGACTAGTTAGTTAATATTTGTAACAGAAGAACTGCTTTGTACATCCTCTTATATTATATCTTATGTCTTTTTCATAAATTATTGTTATTTGTCTTATGCTCTTCAATTTTGTGAACTTAGTGAACTACACTGAGTTAACCACTAATGTTAACTACAAGTAACATAATGTGGGTAATTGATTAACTGCATGGATCTGAGTCCTTATTCAGAAGCTGACATTTGCTCAGCTAATAAAGAAATTTCTTGCATTTTATGTCACCTAAAGGTTCATTACTGTTAGAATAAAGACAAAAATACCATCAAGTATATCCATTTTTAATTAGTGAATTCTTAAGAAGTCTAACATGTTGTGGCCTCACACAGCCACCATCATGGGCATCCAGTGCTATAAGAAAAGTTTTCATAATTTTATGTAACTGACAATAAAATATCATTAACAGTTAAAATTAATATGAAGCATGAACCAATGATATATAGAAATAAAGGGTTTTGTAATTTGTGTCATGTAATGCAGTGCACTAGTGTCACACTGTTCCTGCTCATGTGCCAGTTTACACAAGACAACTGACAAAGGAAGACTCACATAAAAGCAGTGTTATTCTTTACTGAAATAAGAAGTTTCATGCCTATTTTCAAGTGCATTGGATGCCTTCCTTCAAAACAATTCATAAACTTTATAACCACTTTAATAATGATGGTTCAGTGTTGGAGAGGAAACATAACCAGCCATCATCTGTGCCTTCTGCAGAGGACATTGATGCTGTCAGAGTGGTGCTGCAAAGAAACTGCAGTAAATCAACAAAAAAGACTGCAGCACAAGTAGGGATATCCAGAAGATTGGTCCAGTGAATATTGAAAAATGATTTGAATTTGTATCCGTACAAAATGACAGTGTTGCCTCAACTTACAGTTCAAAACAAACATCAAAGAATGGCATTTGCTGAGTGGGCTCAGAGTAATGAGGTATCATTCAACAATGTTTGGTTTTCTGATGATGTGCACATCCACTTGTCTGGTGTATTTAAAAAACAAAATGTGCAATTTTGGGCATCAGAGAATCCACATGTGATTCATGAGAAGATACAGCATGCACAAAGAATTACAAAGTGGGTCACTATCTCAAGTCATGGACTGATAGGGCCAGTTTTCTTTGAAGAGACAGTGAACAGTGAGCACTATTTAAGCATGCTGCACAATGCTTTCATGTCTCACCTTCTTGCCACAGGTTTGCTGTTACAAACACAGTGGTTCATGCAGGATGGAACCAGGCCACACACAGTGAATGTTATTTTGGACTTTCTACATGACACTTTCTGCTCACATATCTCAAACCGATTTCCTGATTGTTTCGCATGTGGGCAGAACTGGTCCCCGAATAGTCATGATTTAAATCCATGAGATTACTCTCTTTGCGGATAATAATGGTGGTCATATTGAACACTTGATTCACAGAGGATAAATCTTCATGCAGTAGTCTTTCTTTTTGTATATTAGTTTCTAGTGTTGTAATTGAAATAAAGATCTTATTAGTAGATCAAATATTGGATCATTTTGTGTATCACCTGTAGCATAGCATTAGTGATTTGTATTAAATTATTTTTTTTACATGAGCAGTTATTAGTTTTGCCATACTGGAGTTTTTATTAATGTTGCCTATTTGATTGTGTCTTGCTGCATTACAGTAGTGGTATGTTTGTTGGTGTGATGAACTGACAAAGTACTGGTGATGTATAGGTTTGTGTGTGATCATATGGCTCCTAGTGCATGCATGTTTTCAAGGTTCAAAAATACTTACTTTGGGGGTTAGTGTGGGGGAGGGGATTTTTGTTTTTCTGTTGGTTGGTTATGTCTATATACATACATGTTAAGTGCAGATATTTACTTCTATATTCAACTGTTGGCTTTTTTTTTACAGTCCCCCCTTCCCATGCTGTCTTCTGTTTCTCCATATTGGTGAATATTATTTCACATATGTATTGCATATCCAGAGATTTTTTTCAGTTTTTTTTTTTCAGTCTAGACGTGTTAGATTACAGATCCCTTGTACTTTTGTATTTATCAGTAATAGGCACTGTATGGAGCAGGTTTCTTATTATATTGTTTGTTTCTATCCAGTAGTTGCCTTAATATGTAAATATATCCCATTGTTCTTTCTGGATTGTTGCTCTCTAAAATTTTTCTGGTATGGCAAAACTAATAATTGATCATATGAAAAATGCAACTTACTATGAATCACTAATATTGTGTTATATTTACATACATTATAGGAGAATTGTATGGTCCTATTTCATACATCACAACCCTCTGCATTCCACCAGACAAGATTCAAATGCCTTTGCTTCTTTATGTCACTGGCTCCTACGTCTTTTTTAATCTGTTGATGATATTTTATGATTATATCTGATTTAAGTGACTGGTATAAAAAATGTTAAACATATCATATCAAATTATGTAAAATTCTCTTTTAATATTGGAAACCCCTGTTGATGGCTATTTGGGGCTGAAATGTGTTTGGCATCATAATTATTTTATAATTATGAACTCAATACATTTCATGGTGTTCTTGTCTTTTATTACGCTGCAAATAGTGTATCAGCAGTACTGACTTCTGTTAAGTTTGTGTTCACAAGTGCCCATCAGTTTTCCCTGTCTTGAGCCAGATTAATCTAATCCACAACTCACCCTATTTCTATGAGATGCAATTTAATACTATTTTTCCTCCATACCTAGGTTTTCCATGCAACCTTTTCTCTTCAGATGTTGTTACTGATATTTCTGTATAGGTTTCTCATCTCTCGTTACGTGTCTAAAATTAACACGGTAGAATAGCTGGTTCAGGCACTGTGCTAGAAGCCTGAAGGTTGTGGGTTCGAGTCCCGGTGAGGTCATTGGTCCCCACCCAATTTATCTAATCCTTCCAGCCGCATTGTGGCCCTGGGGTTGACTCTGTCTCTAACAGAATTGAGTTCCAGGAATTTTCCTGGGGGATAAAGGGCAGCAGGTGCATAAGGCTGATGAGCTCACTGCCATTGGTAAGCTGATTGTCTAGATAATGTGGGACCCTCAATGTCTCACAACCCTATGGGCCTTCATGGCCTGTTATGGGGATAGCTTTACCCTTTCCATTACTCTGTTCTTTATTTCAGGTGACTTTCCATGTGGCAACATTAATGCCAACAAAAGAGACTGATCCTTCATGTAATGGTAAGAAGTTACACATTGGCAATGATTATGTTATCATTGTCTACAATGAAAGTGGTGAGGAATATAATATACAGACTGTGAAGGTGAGACTTGCATTTATATTCCGGTGTTTACAGAATGAGTGAGAGTGTAATGGATATTCATGCTCATATATGTAGACTGAAATTAATAATTTGAATAAAGAGCTGCTGGAAGGGAGACAAAACTTGGCTAAAACTTGCATATGATACATATTCCAACATAAGAGCTAAGAGTTTGCAGATTATTACAGTACGCGCCGAAACATACACTACTGAAATGAAAAGATGAACAGTATTACCTTATTGTCATCTGTTAGTTTATTTCTCCTGAAAGAAACTAACATACACGCTTTTAGCGTGTTAGTTTACCACAGTATACGTAATGTAAGTGATGGTAAGAGCATTGCCTTCCTGATCTTCAATGAAATAGGGGCCTAATATACCATATGCTGAGATGGTACACCATATCGTCACACGTGTACTATGTAGCGGTTTCTGGATGATAACATCTGGCCACTCAAAACCAAGGAAGCGAGTTGTATGGTGATCGATGTAGCCATCCAAGTGAGTGTGACTTTTGTTGGAGAACCACACAGTCCTCAAGAAACCTGGATCCTCATACACCATGGCTAAAAATGTTCCACAATACACCATCCTAGTTCGCATATCTGACTGTCAAGTGTTGTCCAACCTGTATCTGGTACTGAAGTCCACCCATGTCCTTAAACAATTGCTGAACAGACATATTGCTGATGTTCAGTTTCAAGGCCATTCATCGTAGACTTCATTGGGGCAAGTGCAGCACCTGTTGAAGAACACGTGCGTAATTCTCTTTTGTCAAAACAGTTACTGGTCGACCAGACTTCTCTTTCCATTAACACAGTACACTACCAGAACGGCAAAATTTTGTAACAATAGACAGCATAACTGTGTTACTTGGTGCCATCTTGTTGAATCTCTCTTGGAATTGTTCTGTTACCTTTTTCAAACTCAGTCCCCCTTCACTACCACTTCCATATGAGCGGAAATAATACTCAACTATGAATACTTTTTCCTCCATTGAGAGATCCATTTCCAACAACATCTGCACAACACAACTTCCTTTTCACTACTGGGAACACGTGCGGCTGAAGCCATGCCCCATCGACAAACGCACATGCGTGTTCGAGATGCTTGAGTTTCAGTACTGCATGTTTTGGCACACACCATATTAAATGTTTCTAAATGTAAGTTGGAATGATACACAGGCAAAACTGAAATATTTAAGCTTAGGCAAGTATCCATAGTCTCTGTTAGTAATGGAATATGGGTTTTATTTCCATTGGGAGCATAAAGTTGTTGTGCTTAGGCACAGGAATAGCTTCCCCTCTATTTTTATCTTTACATTGTTCATAATGGTAAATTATGTGCATGCCTCTGTTCCATTTTTGGATGGAAGACCTGAAGGTTGTTTGTATGATTCTTACAGTGCCAATTTAACCATGCTTGTGTGGTAATTCAACCACTGGACCATAGTACAAACCGGGTGATAGTGAAGACACGAGAAGATCTGTCAGAACACATTGGCCATAGTGAACCCAAGATTGTTTCAGACCAGAACCTAGCCATCTTGGCCAGGCAGTTAGCCCTACATGCAAATGTGAGTTTGTTCCTCCAGCTTCTTTAGAGATATCATCGTTGTCAGAACTTTCATGTAACAGAGGTTGAAGTCTGCTACGCAGTTACTATCAAGTGATAGAAGCCATACATAAATAAGATTGGAAGGTTGCAATCCATATTATAGCCCGCAGAATTTTCACAGGCATTCTCTGTGTATCCTTATGAAGGTATATTTATGTGATATTGATCTTTATGAAATCTGAAATGATAGGACACAATCTGCTATGCTAAGCCTAGGTTGACAGAGGCCTTGCATACATTGTGCATACTAGATTTGAATATAAAACTTTGTAGAATGCTGGCAAGCAACACTGTAAATATAGAGGTCATGTACTGCTAACTGTGACCATTGTTCATTGTTCATTGTCCATTTATTTTCCATATATATCCCTACAAGTTAAAAAACCAGGACCATGACAAATGACAGACCCATCTTCTTATCAGAGAAGGTGCCCACCATCAATAGAACCACATCTGACAATCACAAAAATCTTGTTTTGTACCCCAGCTGGGGCTTAAAACCAAGACTGATTCGCCAACTTACCATCAGTTCTATTGTGACTTTGACTTTGACTGCCTTCAACTATGTCACTTCCCTGGAACCTTGGAAGGAAACAAAAATCATAACTCTACTGAAACACAGTAAGGACCCAGACATTTCCCAAAATGTACATCAAATCAGCCTTTCATCCACTATAGACAGACTTATCGAGAAACTGATTTTAAGAACAATGCAATGACACATTGAGGAAAGAGACCAAATGCAAGTAGTTTGGCTTTCAAGCACGATGCACTCCAATGTATGAGGCTGATGGATCATGTTGCTCTAAATTTCAACAATAATATGTTGATGGCTGCGGTATTCTTTGATTAAGCTTCTATCTGAACGTTACATTGTGATCAACTGTGCAAAGTGTCAGAATTAGAATTTTCTACATGTCTTGTTAACCTAATTGCTTCTCTTTTCACTAAGATAAAGTTTGAAGTCTTTATAGGAAGCAAATATTCTACACACAGGGAAATAGGGGTAGGAGTCTCAGAAGGCTCCAGCCTGGTTGCAGCATTGTACAGTCTATATGTATATTTGATGCCCCCACAGCATGTGGAAGTCATTTTGTTCTTTTTGCGGATGATATCTGCATATACATGACAGACACACAAATATCGTGTTCTCTGAAAATTGCAATGCAGCCTTACTGCAGTGAAATCGTGGTGGGAGCACTTAAACATAAAGATCAATGAAGGGGAAAGCAGTCAATCTATTTCTCCAGAAGACTTGGGATCCCTCGGGATGTACTAGAACTAAACATAGAGGACATCCCCTTTGAAAACAATATAAAATATCTTGTGTCATCTTCAACAGGAAGATGACATAGAGACTCTATCAAAAGGACTGCAGTCCAGACCCTGGCCATATACATAAGAACCTATTTCCTAATCAAAAGTGAGCATTTAATCATTAATATTAAACTTACTCAATAATGGTTTATGCCTGCCCTGCCTGGGAGGATGTGGTGGATGCTCACCTGCTGAAACTCAAATGTCTGCAGAACTGCTTTCTCCATTCTATTGGCAACTTCGACAGATGCACCCTAGTCCACGAAGTACACACGGTTTTCAGAATTTTGTTGTGTGTACAGTTACACAATAAAACTTGCAGGAAACAGGCAGAAGCCATCACAAATCACCTAACTTTAAATGTACATGCAATTGGACAAGGATAAGCCATGCATAGGAAGTGTAAAAGGCCTAAACTTGGCAGCGGTCAGGCGTGTGACCATTCACGTGACTAATTGCCATTTTGTAGTGGTACAATAAATTAATGCAGAAACCTGCATTGGCAGATATCCTGTGTATAACTTGCATAAGAATTGTCCATTGTAGTAAAGTGACAAAGTGTGTATGGTGTCCATAAAGTACAAATGCCTTTACCTGGACTCTTCATGAGTGCGAATACACTCTTCCAAAACTACAGTGCAACAAATGTGGCATCTACTTAGAAAGACAAACCCCTCCTCTTGTCAATGAGGAGTCCCATTTCCAAGTACATAAAATGGTCTTGGAAGGAATCTAAATTAGGTTATGGATCACAGTGGGGCTCGAAACCAAGAACAACTGTGCTGTTGAGGGCCAGCAGCAATTTACTGGACTCAACTGGACAGGACATTTTGTAAGTTGCAAGCAGCATTGGCAGTTCATGTTTTGCCTTGAGCAATTTCAATTGTTAGCAACGACTAATGATGATAGAATAACAGACAGAAGACTTCATATGTGCTGTAGTTGTAGTGATCTATAGAGTGTGTAAATTAGTAAGACTATTGTAACCATTTGTAGTTATAAGCTACCAGTAAATCCAAATATAAATGCAAATCCTATGTGTAGGCACTAACATGTGACAATACATTAGCAACACAAGATACATATGTGTAAAGTCTGTGTAGTTATGAAGTAAGTTTTGAGTTCTACCCAGAATTCCTTGTTTATCTCCTCTTGACTGTCTTCTTCTTTCAGTTAGCTTCAATGATATCACGCAGCCTGAAAGCTCAGGGACAAGATCCATATGCATCGAACTGGTTGGAACGTCTACGACAAATCAAACGGCTACGTACCAAAGTGCTGCAAGAGACAGCAACAGCAGCCACAAGTGATAGCAGCACAACAGATAGTGAGCTTTTGACATCTCCACGTTCTGCAAGGAGAGTTCACATGGATGATTTCACAGAATACACATAAACATTAATGCAGCTAAGATATATAGGTTTACAAAAAACACATTAAAATTAAGTACAGTTGGTACTAAAATATGAATGTATGATTCTGGAGTGAAAACTCATCCATGGGGAGCTAAGAATGCTCTCTTAACAAATCAGCTGCAGAACATATGCAACTACATGGCAGAAATATTTTAAACAAGAAATAGAGGGATTGATTCTTTTGTCGTTTCTGCATTTATTTTGGTAATGAAGATAAGTAACAGAGACAGTTATTTGAACTTTAGCTGGCAATCTTATTTTGAATTTCAGTTCTGTAGCTTTGCTGTTTGATGAGATTCTGCACAGCATATGGTTTTCGTATCCTGGTTGGTCATCCTTATCTGATAAGATATATATGCTCATGTATTGTGCTTATATAAGAAGGATAGAAGTTTACCTTTACATTAGATGAGTGGTTGTAAGTAGGAAAAAGGTAAAGAAGCAGAGAGTAACTACAAGAAATATGAAGGTAAAAGGTTAATACAGAGTGCAGATAAATGAATTGTGCAAAAGAGAAATTTAATAAATATGTAGAACACTGTACAGACAAATAACAAAATTATTTTCCATTAATAAAATATCAGCGATTCTTTAAACAGAGATCATGCCATCGAAACAACAAAATAGCAGTTTTAAAGAATAATATGAAGCTGGTGGCTCTTAGTCACTGGGCAGAATAACTTCAGAATATACCATGAACTTTCAGCATCATAGGATGGCAGTACCATTCTGTGGTTACTGGACACGTAGCAGTGTTCAGATAAAATGGTTTTTCAAAGATTCATTACATTGTATCTGTATATGTATACTATTCATAGGGCTGTGCCATGGCTCAAGCGGTTAGTCGCTGGCTTCCCACCGCGGCAGCCTGGGTTTAGTCCCGGGTCTGGTCAAGTGGGATTTGTGGTGGACAAAGTGGCACTGGAGTGGGTTTTCTCTGAGTACTTTGGTTTCCCCTGCCAATCTTCATTCCATCGAATTCTCCATCATCATGATCACCCGGGGCAGGCTACAATAGGCCAATCAGTGGACCCAGTTGGACTCCACCCCCCACTAAGCAAATTGTCACTATTCATAAGACATTCATGAGAATCCCAAACATATTGTTATGCAGACCATCTGTTGAAGTACATCAACTTTGACTCGGTTCATCCTTCTCCATCACACTAATAACAGTATAAAAAAGTATTAACGCCATCCAGGGTGATTGATAAATGTTTCTTTCCCCCTCTGTTTTTAATATTTAATCCTTTATATGTTTCAGTCAGAGTGACCATCTTCAGAAGGACATATCAGTACATGCAGAAACTACTATTACAATGTCATTGGTCATTATCAATACATACAGACACTACTATTACAATATCATGAATATAAAATATTAGCCTTTAACAATTACAGCTATGTGCTTGGATTTATTATAGTATTTATAAATTATTATATAATTTACAACAACACAGCATGGCCAGTACAACTGGACAACACTGAAGGGTCCTATTCTTCATACAACAGAACCACGATGTGGCAGATCATCTTCCTTTAACCCGTTGCCGTGGTTCGTCGTGTATGTTTCGTCNTTTTAACAGAGTTTTTTAAGCCATTCTTATAAATAGACTAATTGTCATAATTTATAAATGTTTTAATAAATTCATGCACATTGCTGTAATTCTTAAAGGCTAATATTTTATATTCATGAAATTGTAATAGTAGTGTCTGTATGTATTGATAATGACCAATGACAATGTAATAGTAGTTTCCACATGTATTGATATGTCCTTCTGAAGATAGTCACTCCAACTGAAACATATAAAGATGAAAGATTAAAAAAAAAATCTATCAATTACACTGGATGGCGTTAATAATCTTTCATACATCAACTTGCTTCAGTAGTTCATAAGGATAACAAAAAGAACCTGAACTTCAGATGGTTTTGAGGTGCTCACAGTGGTGTTTATGGAGAGTTCTGTCTTCTCTGACATAACACTGTGTAGCCCATTTATATTCAATAGGCATTTCAGGGGATCGTATCACCTCGTCATCATGGATGAAGAATAAGTCAGGCAAGAAACCAGCATGAAAACTTCTTGCCACCTACATTCATTCTGGTTTCTTGCTTGGCTTATTTTTGACCCTGAAGATGGAAGTGATGTGTTCCTCTGAAACATCAGTTGACTTTCAGTGGATTACACAGCATTATATCCCATAAGATAGACCACCTCTTAGGCTTTTGCGGTTGATATAGTCAGTATCCACTGCAATGTTAAAGTGAAATCCCACCAGTTTGAGGGTAGTTATTACAACATAGGACACATTTTGATTTTTGAAATCATGGTAAAATGAGATGAATAGTTATCAGTATTATTTTCGGTAACTTATTGCATAATTACTTTTTCACGGCAACTTATCTTCAGATTTTTCACCTGCTTAAATGTATTACATGAGATAAATGGTTTACTAAGACCAAATTGGCAATTTTCATCTGCTGAAGACTGCATCTATTTTACTTCCTATTTTGTGATTTTGGTCTGTGCATAACCCTTTCACTGCACAGTATTTTCCCACTGTTTTCCTAAAATAATGCAATTTTAGAGTAAACATATGAAAAGCACTGCACTTTCATAGTCAGTGAATGAAGTAGAATGTCACAGTGAAAAATGATCATTATTAATTGATGTGGGCTGAAGTCAAGTGTTGCACTATGCAGTAATGGATGCTTGTACAACTTCAGGTGAGTATCACAGCAGTATTATTAAAGCTCATTTGTGTTTATGCAGCACTAAATGAGGAACTGTTGCTCATATTATAACCCAGTGATCTGGTACTACTTTTCTGAACTCTTGAATTCATGTAGTGCAACTCTTCTATGAAGTCATAAAAGCAGTAAAATTGAAGCTTATTACCAGAAACAAACTATCATGATGTGTGTTCATGAGTATGAGGTACATTGTCGGTGCTTGCTAGAGATAAAAGCTGCTCTGGACTTGTCATATTCCTATTCATTTATGAATCATTTTTAAATTTTTTTTTATTGCTAGTGGGGTGGGACTAAGTCCCTTGTACTGCGGCCACTTCTGGCCTATTGTACCAGCCCCAGATGATAGGTGAGGGTGATTGTGGAGCAATTGGTGGAATGAAGATTGGCAGGAGAAACTGAAGTACTTGGAGAAAACCTGCCCCAGCGCCACTTTGTCCACCACAGATCCCACTTGACCAGACCCGGGATCAAAACTGGGCCACCGCAGTGGGAAGTCAGCGACTAACTGCTTGAGCTATGGCGCGGCCAGTTTTTAATTTAAATACAGCACATACCCAATTTAAGCTGAATGGATTTAAATATGTAACAAGTGAATACTTGCTTTGTGCATGTATGTTAATTCCAGCTGCAGTTCTATGGTCCGTCATACACGCTTTATTGATAAGATGGTAATGGAGTTTACTGTTGGAATTACTGGAGTTGTTTACTTGTCCATAATCCAGTATTCTAACAAACTAGAGAACACAGCATTTCAGAAACTGGATCTGTTTCCATCCTCAGGTGAGGAGGAAACAACTACTCAGCTGGGTCTCTTAGAAAGAGCTAGCTTCAATCTCTTGATGTCCAGTGATTAGAATTAGCTTTCCAAGGGACCCAACTGCATAGGTGTCTCCCCACCCCACATGACGATGGAAAGGCAGTTTCCAAAATGGTGTGTTCTCTAGTTTTTTAGAATACTGGATGGTGGAAAAAGTCCAAAAACCCATTCATTTTGAGTGTTATACACCATCATCAGACCCCTTTAGAATCTGTGAGATTAATGCTGTTATGAATGGTATGTAAATGAACAAAGAATATGTATCCAGCTTTGAGAATATTGTTTATGTAAATAATATTCATCTTCTTCTAGCATAGGTCCAAATACTGTATTCTGACAGGTGAACCCACTGCATAGAGAATGCATTGTCAAGACATTGTGCTGACAACCAGGGTCTATTGCTGCTCAACAGCTAGCAATTTGTAGGCAACGCATAGACCCATTATAAAATATTCTAGCTAACACATTAAACAGAATGCTTCGCAAAGGTGTTCTCACGGCAGTACGCTAAGATCTACATAAGAAGGAAGATAGCGACAGAACCGTCAAGGTCCAAGAACAGTTCAGATCCAAGAGCATTTCAGATCCGACGAGAGATAGGAAAAAACCAAGAGCAGAGACACTCCACTGAGAATAGTGGTGCAAGAGTATAATCGATGAAGAGGAAACGCAGAGAGACGACTGACTAGTCAGGTCGCTTTGTCTGAAAGGGCGTTATTTGAGACTGATTATAATAGTGTAAATGAGTACTTGTTCAATAAATAGTGTTGCCTCAACCCATTAATTATTTGTCACGGATACCCAGACACATGACCATATGTTTTAATGTAATGGTTCACAGCCATTTGTCTGCAATTATATTGGCACTACCCATACTGAAAATCAATTAAACTTCATGTCACTGAACATGGCAGTTTGGCAGTGGCTTTCCTCCTATGTTGCACTTTCTTCACAATAGTTCTTGAGTATAAGTATGACTTTATCCAGTTAGTAACGTATTTTTGACAGCCACAAAGACATGGAATTCTGTTGAGCATTGTAATGAATTTTTAAAAACAAATTTGCATTGATATGGTATGGGGACTAGAATATAGTTTGACGTCAGTTTGCAGGTTCAGTTTTTCATTGTTTTGGGGAATCTCTGTAATAGTTTCCTGGTATCTTCAGTAAATCTCGCTATTTGATGTCTGCACTTACTGTTGCATGTTTCTCAAGATCATGTATCCATATAAGTATTGTAATTTCTGATTACATTCGCATTTTGCAGTTCTACTCAGGCAGAGAGGTAGGCAGTGGCCCTCTTCTACTTTAAAAGTAATTCAGATATCTATAATTTGGCTCTGCTGGCCTGCAAATAATCGTGACTATCCACCAGGTAAGCAAATTCTTTGGAAATACATGTATGAGAGCAGCCACTACTGAAGGTGTTTCTAGTAGTTTCAGGAAATCAGGCCACACAAATTTACAGTTGCTGTGACAGAGTGTGAGCACTTTTCTGTTCAAACCTCCAAACGACCACGCCCTCAAATTAATAATACTCCAGTTAGAGCTATCGACATTTTCCTTATTCCTAAATTTTGTGAGAAACATCATAGAAAAATTTTTCAACATAGTCAGCTTAGGTGCTAACATGTTCCCCGTATAAAAATCTAGTAGAAGATACCATAAAGAAGTTTATAAAAAGGGTGATTTCAAAGCAGAACTCAGGGTATGAACATATGACATTGGGCTAGAAGTAGATAACTGATTAAGTTACAGACAGAAGAACAATCGAAAGAACCAAAAAAATAAATTGAACACCTAACCATTATGAAGCAGCATGCATACTTTTGAACATCACAACGTATTTCCAGTTACATTTCAAAGTAAGAAATTAAAGGTCAGAAACTTAAAAATGTCAAGAAGCAATAAGTTCTATAGATTTTATTCGGTTAGGGGTACTTCAAGAAGTAAATGTTTATGGTAACTTAATCCTAGGTTAGTAAATAGTTGGGGGTACGCGGTAGCGTAAGACACTATGCTGTAAGCCAGAAGGTCACGGGTTCGAGTCCCAATGAGGTTTTTTTTTTTTTTTTCAATTTACCTAATTCTTCTAGCTGCACTATGGCCCTGGCGTCAACTCAGCCTCTAATAGAGATGAGTACCAGGAATCTTCCCAAGGGGTAAAGGATGGCCGAAGTGTAATGCCGACAAACTTACCGCCATCTGTGAGCAGTTTGTCTCAATAATGTAAAGCCCTCAACGTCTCGCAACCTTATGGGCCTCCATGGCCTGTTACAGGGATAGCATTACCTTTTAAAATACATAGACATTACAGCTGAAGGTTGGTCGCGTTATGTCAGTTAATGCAGAGCAGAGGATGTAATTAAATGGCAGTTAGAGGCTAGAACAAACCACGACCTTTTATGTTATTTGAACTTCCAGTTCCTACAATTGCAACATAACTTGATCTAGCTGGCTTCCCACCGCGGCGGCCCGGGTTCGATCCCGGGTCTGGTCAAGTGGGATTTGTGGAAGACAAAGTAGCACTGGGACGGCTTTCCTCCGAGTACTTCCGTTTCCCCTGCCAATGTTCATTCCACCAAATTCTCCGTCCTCATAATCAGCCAGAGCAGATACAATAGCCCAATCATTCGCCGCCGTGCCCAATGGATCCAGTTCGACTCCACGCCCCCCACTATGCGAATTAAAAAAAAATACGTAATTTACATACTCGTACGAAAAGTGTGGGGGGGACCAGTGGGTTCTTTCCATGTAGATCACATTCAAATCCCCGGATCGATGCACACATGTGTGACCAACGCACTATTGACTGAACGCACACAACCGAGCGGGTCCGAACCGGGTCCGAACTACAGCGGAATGCTCCGATATACGGTAGTGGTGTGAGTACCAAGGTCCTTTTGTGATTTGCTGCGTCGTAGGTTTAGGTCGTTATGGAGTAAGCGAGATATAATTTGTTCAGTTTGACAAAAATGGTGAATAAATTGCTGTCTTTCTATAGTAAATTTGTAAGTCGAAACACTTTGTTGAATATAGTTACTGAAAACTATCGTGGGTCAGGTCGGTGTAAGCATTTCGTAAGTAAGTGTGAGCCATGTAGTCCTTTGGGTGGAAACGGATGGAAGTTTCGAGATTTTCATGTATATGGCCCATATAAAAAGAATGAAGATCGTCGTGAAATGTATGCTTCATTGCCAGCAAGAGATGAGGGAACCGATGGAGAAAAGGGAGTGGATATTGATTCTGTTATAAAGAGGTGTGTATAGTCTGAGTTTTGCGTACCAAGTTAACAAGTAAGGTTCAAAATGGCTATCTGCTGTTTTCTGGCCCACTGTTACCAGTCTGGCAAGATGGCGTGTTTGCAGAGAGGAAAGGTCACTTGAAATTTTGTAGTCAGCTTTGCATTGTATATGTGGTATAAGGGAACGTTCCCATAGTTCTGCCATTAGAAACTTGCAGGAAATTTACATTTAAATAATGGAATTGAATGCAGATGTACGTATTTTAATTGTTTTGAATTTGTATAAGAAACTGACGTATGAAAAATTTTTACACAGAAACTTGTTCCAGTCGAGAAGATATGTATCCCGATGAGAACACACCAACACGATTATTTAACGGCATCCCATTTCGTGATGTCCCCATATGCAATATAAAGGCATCGAAAAATAATACAGTCATCACCGTGAGTGATGCCAAAGGTGGGTCGATTATTGCTTGTATTAGAATTTGAATGTTATGTGTTGGGAAATTCGTAATCTAAAATGTATTGAGCTTGCGCCCCCCCCCCCAGCNGAAGAGAAAGAAGTCGCATGGAGCTAAGTCTGGTGAGTACAGTGGGTGGGGAACAACTGCCATCTTGTTTTAGCCAAAAATTCCTGCACAGTGTAAGCCATATGCGGTCATGCGTTGTCATGGTGGAGTACCCAGTCGTTTGTGCACCACTTCTCTGGACGTTTTCTCCTCATATTCTCCCTCAAACGCCTTAGAACATCGCGATAGAACTCGTTATTGACTGTCTGACCAGGAGGGACGAACTCCTTATGAATAATCCCGTCATTATCAAAAAAACAGATCAACATGGACTTAATGTTGCTCTTGACTTGTCGAACTTTTTTTGGCCGAGGTGAAGAAGGGCTTTTCCATTGTGACGATTGCTGCGTGCTTTCAGGGTCATAACCATAAACCCAACTTTCGTCACCAGTGACAACCTTCGAAAGAAAGTTTGGATCCTCTTGAAGCTGTTGCTGAAGTTCCCTGCAGACTTCCAAGCGATGCTGCTTCTGTTCATTTTGCAGCAGTTTTGGCACAGACTTCACCGCAATCCTACTCATGTTCAGTTCCTGTGACAAAATTTGTTGACATGTACCATAACTTAGTCCCAGGGTGTTACAGAGGTCTTGGATGGTCAGTCGAATGAGATCCCTAACTTTCGCGACATTTTCTGGTGTTTTGCCCATTGACGGCTGTCCCGAACGATCGTCGTCATCAGTCAATGTTTGGCCATTTTTAAAACGCTCATACCACTTGTAAGTTTGTGTCTGGCCTAAACTGTTTTCACCAAAAGCTTGCTTCAACATTTGGTGCATTTCTGGAGCGGTTTCCCCAGGTTTGAAACAAAACTTTATACAGACACACTGCTCTCCCAGGTCAGCCATCGCAAAACTGCAAACTCGCGGAAACACAACAATGGAAATACGTTCACCAACAATAAACCCAACCACTCAACTCGACGCTGCTTGCCACACTGATTCAAGAAGGATGTGTGAGGAGACACCTAGCAGTATTTCGACGTACTCATAACCATTCTCCCGCAAAATTAAAATTTAGGAAACTTTTGGATTGCCCCACGTATTTGAGCCGTGTCAGATACCTCAGCAAGTCTAGTGACGAGTTATGTGCTGGACTGCAGGGGTTCGATACCCAGCAGGGGCAGAGGATTATTTTTATTAACCACATCAGACTCAACTCTGGTGCCCAGCAAGCTTTGTATCCAGTGGATACTTTCCTTGAAGTCAGTGGCCACAAAATGAAGGTGACCACACAGTAACGTTGAGGTCGGCTATACAACTACTCCCCAATATGCCTTCATGGCATGGTACTTAATTAGTTGAGCATAAGGGCATCGCCATGATTCTAACGTTTTATGCAGGGTGATCATCTGCTGAATGAAAGAGGTGGAAACATTGAAGTTAGTGGTATAGATTGCTTATATGCTGACATCAGATGGTAGCAGCAGGCAATGCATCTGATGTCCTGCCACAGTGCAGTATGTGGTGATATTGTATGTACCAGGATTTGTGCTTAAGGTGAAGTGTTAATTTGTGATGTGTGGATACTTTAAAATGCAGTGGTTCCCCCGATCCACCCACCAGTGTAATGTAATGCATCACCAAAATCTGCTATGAGGTAAATTGTGAAATCATTTGGCATTATTCAAGAATCTGTATTCTAAAGCATGTTACCATTCAGCTGTTCTAGTGGAGAGTCATTTTGTAAAGTTGGCACAAAATTGGAAGCAGGCTTCACAGAAATCATTGGAAAAAGCTGTCACAACAGATGAAAATGTGTTGTGGCAGAATTGAACACAAAGATTGTAATGATCTGGTTGAAGAACCTGCACATATTGAAAGTAGTATGGATAAAGGTAATGTAAATTTCTAACAGTCTGGGAAGGCCCATATGATTGTCAGACGTCAAGGCTCCAAAAGATTGTAATGATCTGGTTGAAGAACCCGCACATATTGAAAATAGTATGGATTAAGGTAATGTAAATCTCTAACAATCTGGGAAGGCCTATAGGATTGTCAGATGTCAAGGCTCCTGCATTTTCTCTAGACAGTTGGTGGTAAGATTGTCAGCCTTACATACATGTCAGTTGTTCTTTACCTTCCAAGGAAGGATCCTGGTACTCATTTTCTGTTAGAGGATGAGTTGACCCCAGGACAATAGTGCAGCTGGAAGGATTAAGTCAAATGAAAAAAAAAATCCATATTGGGATTTGAACCCATGACCTTCTGGATTGTAGCATAGTGCCTCAGCCAACTATGCTACCACGCATAGTATGAATAAGAACTTGACCTTGTAAGGTTCACCATGCAATGCAGGTCCACCTAGTTGAATAGAGATCCTTTGAATGCTATCCATTTAGCTGTGTTGTATTATGTCCAATGTGTGCTTGTCTCCAGAAACAATCGATCATACTGCATGGTCTTGGTTACATGGAACATCTATCCTTGTTTCCTGTAATCTTCAGTGTGTATCATTGTGCCTCTTGACAATTCAGAAACATCTGTGGTGTTTGTCACCTTCCACCATGTTGTTAAACTGTAATCCATAAATATAAGGCATTATCAGTGTATTCATTGGGAGAGCACTGTTGATCAATTTTGTGCAAGAACACAAGCACACAGACTGATTTTGACCATATTACAATGCAGTGTTTGAATCCGAAGCAGGTGAGTTTTGGGGCAAAAACAATTGTTGTGGCATGCTGTTGCACATCATGTATTTTTCAGCAGATGTTACTAATTCACAATCTTACGTGCAACGCGTCCATTAAAGCTTGTTAAAAAGTTTCTTACAGTACACACTTAGTCATTTTAAACCTTAACACTTTGAGGACTGGCAGTTTAAATATTCAACCTTTATGAGCCGAAAAACCCCATATGGGGACCTTTAATGTAAAGCCGAGTGGCCGAACGACACTGTATGGTGACTCGCAGTCCACACGTGCGCACACTGTTTTAAAATCTAATTTTAAGATAGAAATTCTTGTTCTACTTACATTATTCTTGGACACCAGCTTTATAAGTAGAGTGTCTTCCCTCCTGTATCATCTAACTGAATTTTTCTTGTAACTGAATGCAGAGTCCGACGTCGCAATTCATGCACTTTGTCCATATGTAACTCTGTTTTCCACGCGAAGCGTGCACACGCAACATCAGTCTCGTATTAGCAGGAAGTAGGCCAGTGGTCTCCTCTATTCGTAACGCTTACAAAACATCGCAATTTCAACTATGCACCATGGCCCCATTTCACATGGAAGAAGCCGAAATTGAGAGGCCGCTCGTAAATCACACCGTTCAGAATGCGGTACATAAGACTGAAAGCATGTAGAAGCAAAGGACCATGTGGGGGCCTTTCTAAGAAGCATAACAGTACTTCTTGTGTGGCTGATATACACAGACAATGTTTCTGAAGGACGTGACCACACTCCTGTATACAGAAAGTTTGGAGTGCTATAAAAGCATAAACATTTCCTCTCCTCTTACCAGATAAAACATAGCCAGACAGTGTGTCAGCAACATGCATTTATACTGCAACTAAAATTTTTGGAGAACACCAATGCTCTTAGAAGTGCTTGAGAATGATATTTCTGGAAACATTGCCCTTTGTGAAGTGGCATTACACAGAACTTGCAAATGTAGGAAGTCATACTCCTGTTTTTGTGAACTGCACAAACACGGCATTGCCTGAAAGGATGCTTCCGCTTTGAATGTTTCCGCATATCACCCGGTGTTTCACGGTGTTGTTCATAGTATATGTTAGTTTCCTGACATAACATGTCAAAGAAACTTATCTCCAAAAAATAATTCTGCTACTTCAGACACTTGCTCTGGGTCTGATGGAATTTGTTTCACCCCCGGATTTCCAGTAAACTGTCCCAAAGTAGGCGTTTTGTCTACTTTTCCCCATGTGGCTGTCCCTGCACTGTTAGTACCCAAATTTTTGTCAAAGCTACTTTCACTTTTATTGTCTGTTGCCACAATTCCTTGTCCACTGTCACTACTACTACTACTACTCTCACGAGGCACGTCAGATAGCTCATTGGAGAACAAGTCAGATATTTCTGGTTCTTCAACCACTTTCGTCCTTGATCCGTATTCCACTAGTAACTTCCTGCCTGGTACATACAGCTTGAAGGGACAAAGATCATTTTCTTTTGGAGTGGGGAACCAAAACAGCGAGGTCAAGTTACTGACTACTAAGCAAACATTCCGGAGTTTTATTATGCAGTAGTCATGTGGCTGCGTGACGCCAGAGCAAGGTATAGTGTGTTGCAACCTAACGTGTCCTAAAGTCATGATATTATGTGGCCGGTCCTTTAAGTATTAAAAGTTCTTGTACATTGCACTACATGCTTCAGCTGTCATTGGTAAGTATAGGGTGTTTAAATTTGTTGTTGAAAACTGCTGTGCTACTGTTTTGTGTTTCTAATCAATGTGTAGTGCCATCTACATGCTTCTGTAGTCCATTATGGTGGGTGGATTTTTTTTTTTTTTTTGGTCAAGAAAATACTCATCTAGTTTACTCGACATTATGTCCTGAATATGGCTGACAGGTTTTGAAAAACCATGTATATTGTCTGTGTGGGACAGGTGATGTACCTGAAACCAGCACTTAGTAAAGGTAACATACCAGTTAATACACTGAAACTGTAATATCACTCATGCAGTACCGCGTACCAGTTAGTATACTGAAACTGTAATGTCATTCCTCATGCAGTACTGGTGTTTGTAATTACCAGTAATACACTGAAACTGTAATGTCATTCCTCATGCAGTACTGGTGTTTGTAATTACCAGTAATACACTGAAACTGTAATGTCATTCCTCATGCAGTACTGGTGTTTGTAATTACCAGTAATACACTGAAACTGTAATGTCATTCCTCATGCAGTACTGGTGTTTGTAATTATTAGTATAGTTTACATTGCCTGCAGTATTCCAGAGCTAAACTGAATGCAGAACATGCCTCTTTCATTGAGAGAGTAGCATAGTTTGTTGAGGCAGTAATACAAGCCAGGAGTTTGCAGGTTTGATTCCCAGTGAAGTCACTAGATTTTTCAATTGACCTAAACCTTCCAGCCACACTATGGCCCTGGGGTCAACTCAGCCTCTAACAGAATTGAGTACCAAGAATCTTCCTTTGCGGGGGTGGCTGGCCGGCATGTAAGGCTGACAACCTCACCACCATCTGAGCTAATTGTCTAGAAAATGTGGGAAACTAAACCCCTCAACCCTTTGTGACTCCACGGCCTATTACAAGGGTAGCTCTACCTTTTTTTTATGTCTAATAGCTGAATGTCCATTCATCTGTACATCCCACTCTGTTTCTCCCAAACATTGCATCTGCCTCCATCTCTTCTTGCCAAGCCGTTCTCTCGTTTTGGCATGCCCTTATGGAGTGAATTGCAACCTCTTCATTAGGAATCTTCTGCCGCTCCACTACATCCTCTTTTTCTCTTGGATTTGTCTCCAATGCATCTTGGCAGGCTGTCATCTCTTCCTGCCAGGCATTCATATTGGCTTTCACCCTCTTCTCTCGCATGGCAGCCATCCTTGTTTCGATGGCCCTCGTTTCTGCTCGGATGGCTTCCATTTCTGCATCCAGGCTTTCAAGTTGGCCCTCAATTCTTTCACCAGGAATTCCATCATTTGCTGCATCTCTTGCTTCTCTCTATCTCCCCCCCCCAGGATAACACTCGATGTACTTCCTAGATCGAGGCGTGTTTAATAAGTTCATATTCCACTCTGACACCAGTTGTCGCGTGTTTCCTATGTGACACGACAAATAACTTCACGCCAGGCTTGGATCTAGCGAATTTATTGCACACTCACTCTTACACAGTTCACAATTTCATTCCTTCATTGCTTCTCCTGTACTCACTTTCAGGCTTCAACTATCATGATTCCATTCACTCAATACAACTGGACAACTCGTAACTGCTAGACTTCAACTGAATACTCAATACTAGCTTAACAAGGCAAAGTCACATTGCAACTGACAGTCAGTCACTAAGTCTTGGTGTTGAGCCCCATCTGGGACTCATGACCAGATATATATTACTCAACAGTTACGGTCCTGTTTTCGTGAGGCGCCCTCTCTGACGAGAGGATGGGTCTGTCTGTTACATATGCTGCTGGCCCTTGCCAGCGCAGTCTTTCTTGGGCCTGAGTCCCTTGGGACTCATGACCTTACTTTACTGTCTCAGATTTGAGACTTCCCTTTTTGTCACCTCATATGACTCGCAGGGTCATGGTAGAGGTATTTGACTCTGCCTCCACACGGCCCACTAGCTCAGCAAAGTCAAAAGTCACATTGCAACTGACTGACAGTAAGTCAGTCTTGGTGTCGAGCACCATAGCTCAACAGTGACGAATACTCTCGTTATGTATGGATGCTGCATGGACTCCCCTGTTGCGTGATGTCAGCCTAGTGGAGAGGAGTGTTTACCGAGCGTTGTTATGTGATGAACACTCATTGCTATGGATATTCCTACACAGTGGTCTCAACAGTTTCCATTGTTTCGTTGCTCAGCGATGGACAACATATAAGATATTACAATATCATGCCATGTGAAGGCACTTCAACAGCATAGTTTATAAATCCACCCTGTCAGTAATACCTGCATTACAGTCTCTCAGATTTCTGAGGCAAAACATTAATATTGTCCGAACACCACCAGTCTTAATGAAGCTCAGTACGTATATTGTGCCACATGAAACACTCAACGGCATACTCCGTTAGGCCCCACAATCAGTAGTACCAATGTTACAGCCTCTCAGATTTTTGTGGTAATAAGCATAATTTTACTTAAATGCCTAAACCAGTCATTATTGAACTTGGTACATAGATTATGGCACCTGAGCCCATTGTAACAGTATAATTCACAAATCCCTCCTATCACTAATACCAACATCAATTGTCTTTGGAAGTAGCTCCTGTAATAAGTAGTGTTTTGCCAGATGCATCAGAATACAAATACAGTAGAACTCGGTTGTAACGTCATCAAAGGGACCTAAAAATAGTGTCGTTATAAACGAATGTCGTCGTAACCGAATTGGGTACTTCCACAGTAGCCTTATGTTAGTCACGTAAAAATCTACCAAAACCGAGTTAAAATGTTGCATTTTTTAGGGAAATACATAGTTAAGTGCAGACTAACATAACATTAACACGGAATTGCCCAAATGTGTAATATCAAAGACATATTACAGCACTTTTAACTGACATTACACACCGCACTAATACTGTATATTAAAGGTAGGTCTACTCACCAAATTACAGTAGATTACATCAATTGTTGTGCCTTACTGTACCTAGATACGAGTACAGTAATCAGTTATCTTCATCTGTTTCCTGTTACTTGCCCAATACACACTTTCTAAATTACGTTCAATGTCCATATCAGAGAAATTCAGGAATGAAAATGACGTTACATACGAGGTTGATGCATTTGTGCATGTCGTACTAAGCAAGGTATAAAAACAGTTGCTTTATGAGGAATTAGTTCGTACCATTGAATATTTGACGCAATAGACAAGGTGTCGCAGAAACCGATGTTGCTATAACCAAGTTTTACTGTATATATCTTCCATAGTCATTCTTTACTCTCAAGTCCAGTCATTTCATGCTGCTGTTTGGGCAAAAGAATACTGGGAGTTGGGAGTGGAGAGACTATTCCTTCACTGTTTCTCACTGTGTACAACCAAAACTACATGAAAACTGAAAATATTTCACAGTACAATTGCAGCACACAAAAGGTGTGTTCTTGAGCATTTAAGTTCCCCATATTGTACAAAAGTGATTCAGCATGCTGGGCAGAGCACATGTGGTCTGTAGGTCATATGGTTCAAGACATTCACTGTGTTTTCTGTAGAATGTCATAGTGTCATGCACACTTGCTTTCTGCTATGTTAATATGAGAAAGTGTGTGTGCAAATAAAATTGGAACATGAGATTTTGATGGATTTGCACGTTTTCAGCGCTCCTTGGTACAAAAGAGTGATTTTTGGAATGCTGTTTACCTGCGTGTATTTGCGGGTGCATGCATGATTTTGTTTAAAACAGCTTCAATGACTGATTAAATTTCAGTAGCTGTAGAGACCATCTTGTTAAATAAAACCACATTAGTGCTATTTTTAAGGAACTAACAGCACACTTTCTAGTGGCCCAGAAGCGAAGTGTCGATTTTCTCAGAAATGGCTTGACAGATTTTGCTTAAATTGTAATTATCTGTTAGAGGGAAAGGACCCAAGTGATGAGGCAGTGATTTGGCAGTCTTATATGAGAAAGTATACAGTATATTTATGCCAATCATTTTAAGTGTTACGGCCAGTCCAGTGTACTTGGTTATTACTTGTATAGTAATGAATAACTTTCTGTTGCAGGAGATGTGAAGTTGTTAAGGTCATGTGGAATGGAAGGCTTTAAAAATGCACGAAAAGGAACAAATATTGCAGCACAAGCAACAGCCATCAGTTTCAGTACGGTAAGATAATTTGAGCAATTCCTAGTATTAAGATGTGTGTTTATGTGAACAAGTTAAAATGCATGGAACTTCAGTAGAATTCTCCTTAATATGTCCACAATGGCCACCTGTAACTTAACTCACTCACTCACTCACTCACTCACCTGCTCATGGAGCTGAGCCCTTCTAGAGGAGCCGCCAATTCTGCAGCTACTCAAGAATTTCACAGCCCGAACCTGAAGGTTCATTACCGTGTTCACAAGAGCCCTCCACTGGTCCCTATCCTGAGCCAGAACAATCCAATCCATCCCATCCCATCCCACCTCTCTTTAACGCATTGCGGACCGGTTGTTTAAATATTTAAATCACCCTGGGGACCGGGGTTTTTAAGCCTAGCACCCTAACTTGTGCACTGTTCACTTTAAAAATTAATATAAAATCTCCTAATTAATTTTATGAACTAAAAATTTTTGGAGAACAGTTACCAATGCTCCTAGAAGTGCTTGAGAATGTGATATTTCTGGAAACATTCCCCTTTGTGAAGTGGCATTACACAGAACTTGCAAATGTAGGTAGTCATACTCCTTTTTCTGTGAACTGCACAAACACAGCATTGACTAGAAGGATGCTATCCCTTGGAATGTTCCCTCTTCACAATTTTCACGAGGGTATGTTTCTGCATATCACCCGAGAGTCATCCACGGGGGTCCACATGAGGCCTATGGCGGGTGCGAACAGATGGCCCCAGCTGCACTACGTTTGTGTCTGACGCAGGTACTGCCTGCCGCCACTGTGAGGTCAGTAGCCCAAGCTTTTGCCAAGTTCAACAGAAATGCTTTGTATTTCAAAGTAGGATTTCTGTTCACGTTTTTGAAAACCAAAAATGAATTGAAAAGTGCACAGTTTATAAGCCACAGTGCAACTTTCTTCGTCCATTTCACTGTTTTCCTAGGAAGGGAATAATAGGCCAAGTACTGGTCGGCCCTATCAACTCCCTAGATGAACATATTATACTCGGAAATACAAAGAGGCTTCTTCACTTGCCCGTGGCGTCTCTAAACATCAACCATACTCAAATTGTGAATAGTGGAAACCATATTCACAACACGAGTATCCCTCCAGGACTGAAGAAGAATGTCCCCCTTCCTCTTGGACTCGAACAAAGGCTTTTTCTTCAGGTTGTGACAGGAAATGAACGTGATCATGTTACTGGCTAAGCTAGCAAACATTCCCGAGGTCAATTATGCAGTAGTTATGATGCAATGTGGCCACACAGCGCGATATAGTCAGTTGCAACGTAATGCGTCAGAAAAGGGCCAGTTGGCCCCTCTGGTCCTGAATGTGTTAAGATCCATTTTAATATTGTCCACGCACCTACGCCTTGATCTTCCCAGTGGGCTCTTTCCTTCTGGCTTTCCCACCAATATCCTATACGCATTCCTCCTTTCCCCCATTCGTGCTACATAACCTGCCCACCTCATCCTCCTTGACTTGATCATTCTAATTATACTTGGAGAAGAGTACAAGTTATGAAGCTCCTCATTATGCAGTTTTCTCCAACCTCCTGTCACTTCATCTCTCTTCAGTTCAAATATTCTCAACACCCTGATCTCAAACACAATCAGTCTGTGTTCCTCCCTTAATGTCGGAGACCAAGTTTCACACCCATACAGAACCACAGGTAAAATTATAGTTAAGTATATGCTATTTTTTATGTTTTTGGATGGCAGACAAGACAAAAGGTTGTGGACTGAATGGTAGCAAGAATTACCGAAGTTCAATCTCCTCTTAATTTCCTCCTGAATCAGGTTTGATCTGTTATCATTGCTCCCAAATATCTGAATTGTGCCACATTTTCAAAACATCTGTTTCCTATCTTTATATCATGATTTTGCCCTGCGTTTTGGTGAAGAGACAGCAACATATACTTACGTAAGATTTGAGGCTTTCACGGCGGTGACTATGAAGAAAGCAGTCTTCTGGGATTTGGCACTATGTATATGTGGTGTTAACCGACGTTTTGGAGGAATGTATCGCCTCCATCTTCAGGGTAGAAGGAAAAATATAAGAAATCTGCAAGCGAAGAGACCGTGAGAACCGGTAAAAGCAGACTGGTTTTGGAAATATACACAGCTATGTGAGAGCAGTGAAGGAAGGGGTGAAGGGCAAGTATACAAGTGAAATCAGTAGTGGCGGAGGGGTCGGGGGGAAAGAGCTGGGACAAGCAAGGTTTTGTGTTGGGGGAGAGAAAGGCAAGGTTAAAGCCTGGGCACTAACC